TTTATCAGAAGTTATTGCAATTCTGTGAGTTATATGGTATCATCTTAAATGATCAATTTTCACTCCTCCTTCATCTGCATCTAGCATAACAGCTTTCCTTAGATATGTTCTGTGTTCAAACTGAACAAATAGGGAGATAAAATACACCCTTGCCTGACAGCTTTGCTTATGGGAAACCATTCTGTTTCTCCATATTCTGTCTCAGTAGCTTCTTGTACACAATACAGATTACGTATAAGAATAGTCAAGTGCTGAGGCAACCTATTTATTTCAGAACAATCCGTAACTTCTCATGATCCACAGAGTCAAGGTCTTTGTTCCAGCACCTTGAGCTTTATTTTGCATGGGAAGTTGTCCTATAGTTACTGCACTCCCCTGTTGTGAGCCGCCTAGAGTGGTCTACTGACTAGATAGGCAGGATATTAAATAAATAAATAATTCCTTTCTTTGAGATTGGAATGTATATCAAACATTTCCATTCTATGGGCCACTGTTTTGTTTTCCATATTTGTTAGCATTAGCTAGTTAGGATTTGACATATTCAGTCTCTTTCAGTTTGGAATAATCAGTTCTACCCCTGGTGATTTATTTCTTCCAAATGCTTTCAGAGCAGCTTTCACTTCACTTTCTAAATTTACAGGTTATACAATTATACAATTTCTCTTCAAGGTAATCTCTCATCCTTTTATCTCTTCTGTACAGTTCTTCAGTGTACAGTTTCTACCCTCTCATTATTTATCCTGGTCAGGGAGTATGTTCCCATGTTGCTCTTTCAGCATTCCTAATCTAGGTTTAATTTTTCCTTTGGTTTGTGGATCTTCTGGAAGAGATTTCAAATCTTTTTTTCTTTTGTTGTGCACTTCTGCAGTTGTAATAGTTTTCTTTGCCTTTATATGATAGTCATGGAAAAGTTGCACTCAGAATTCTTAAACTTTTTATGTCACATTTTACTTTTGCTGACCTTAACCATTTATGAAGTATTTTGTCCATCATCTATCTAAGCTTTTTTTCTCTTTATACTACAGGAATAATCTTTTTACATTCTTCCTAATAATATATCTGGTTTCAATCCGCAATTCTGGTTCACAGACATTTGAGTTCAATAATTCAAGCTTCATGTGGTCTTTAAATTAATTAGAAAAGTTATTTAAATTACATCTTGGCACTATGATTCTTTTAGTATCTTTTTCAGCTTTTAGTGTGGCTCCTGCCACAGAGAATACAGCATCTGCATTTCCTTTTTCCAATATTCTATGCTTCTCAATATGGGCTATAGAACGCTTGATGTTAGCTGCTCCAAAAACTCTTGATATTGCCTGTTACTGGTATGATTCTAATTGATATGTTTATCTATTGTACTGTGGTGTTTTGAACATGAAGAATGAAACATATTTTAATACGTACTGTAATGTGCTTAATTCTGTTTTAATATTTGTAACTTACTGTATTTTAATGCTATTGTTTTTTACTCTTGTAAGGTAACAAATCTCAAGTCTTATTTTCAAGAGGCTGGAGAAGGGAATGCCAAATTATCATCTTTGTGAAATATCTAATGTAAGTAAACCAACAACAAAACACCACAATGAAGAATAGGTAACCAAAATCATTCACCTCTAATGTAGCACCACAGTATGAAAGGCACATAGTGTAAATGTTTGTGTGTGTCTGTGTGTGCATGTGTGCACGCATGTGCATGCATGCCTCTTAATTGCCAGTTATAAAATGTTTTTTGTTGCTCTCATGATAAAAAAAACAGCCAGTGATTTATGACTTGGAATATTTTCACCAAAGCCCTGGAGGTTCCAAAAAACAAGACAGCCTACTTACATACTGACAAGACCAAACGTTTAATAAATAAAATCCCAGAGAAGCAGAGTATATTTAAACTTCAACCAAAATGGCTATAATATGAGAGAACAGTAGGAGCTGTAGAAAATAGGTCTGGCTCCTTGCTGTGGTTATGGTCTAAGAAAACACACAGCAATGCTCTGTGTGAATCTTCCCCCATTCAGTCATTATGCTGCTAAAATTAAATTGTGTAGTTAACAATTCACACACATTGTTGCTTAAAAACCTCCAAAATAGTCTACTTCTTTGAGCATTCCACATTCAAGAAGGCTAAAGCTATTGTTAGAAAAATGGATGATGTCTGCTTTCAAACATGAACTGAGCAGACTAAACTCTAATGGACCAGAATTCTATTGATGTCCTTGTCAGATCTGCATAACTTCCTGTAGCTAATCAATGACTTGCTGGGGTGGACCACCAGATGCATGAGACACATCCTTGCACTTTGTCAGTTAGCTGTCATTAGTCGTAGCACAGTACACAAACCTAATGCAAAGACCAATAGGGTTATGGCCAGTTTCCTTCTCACCAGAATTCTTCTTCTAACCCTAGATACATTGGCACTTCCCACTCTATCCACCAGCCATAGGAAATGGAGTTGCGGGGCGGTGGGCAGACGAAAAGTATCTGAATTGTTTCTCTCATAGCATATCCAACCAAATATTCAACTACTTTTCGCCACTTACGTTTGAACGCACATTTCCTTACTGGAAGAAGCATACTGGCAAACTCTACTCACTGTGACTATGGGCAGTGTTATGCCAGTCATTGCTAGCTGCAGGCATCAAAGAAGCAAGATCCAAGAATACGGTTTCACTGCAGCCACTGCACACATCTTAGAGTGTGTGCATGTGTCCATGTGTGCACATGTGTGCATGTTCAAACACACACACACACACACAGATGCAAGCTTATAGGACTCAGTAAACCATTCTGATAATCAGGTTTGGCAGTAAGTACAGTTCACTTAAGGGATGTGGCTGGCACTGTGGGTTAAACAGCTGAACCACTCGGCTTGTTGATCAGAAAGGTGGCGGTTTGAATCTGCACAACAGGGTGAGCTCCCATCGCTTGTCCCAGCTGCTGCCAACCTAGAAGCTTGGAAGCATGCAAATGTGAGTAGATGAATAGGTACCACCTTGGTGGGAAGGTAATGGCATTCCATGTCTAGCCATGCCAGGCAAATGGCCACGGAAAGTGTCTATAGACAAACGCTGGCTTTTCAGCTTACAAACGGGAATCAACACCGCCTCTAGAGTTGGACAAAACTGGACTTAATAGTCAAGGGGAATCTTTGCCTTTACCGTTACAGATCACTTGTTGGAGTGATTTGGTTGTTTTTGTTATACAGTCATATTTGCTTAGGCTCAGCACAATTGTCCCGCCTGCCCAGCCTCCCTCCCGTAGCAAATGACTGTAAAGAATCCTGCTGTAGGAAGTGTTGTGTACCTCTAACCCACCATTTGGGAAAGGATGAGGGCTCAAGTGGGGGGGGCACAAACTCTGGCCTCAAGTGCTCCACAGATTTCATCAGGTGTGGCTATTGACCTCTGTGGCATAACTTCACCAGTGGCCACTCCTTCATTTAAGGAAGCCTAGGCAGCATAGCTTGGACATTTGCCAAAGACCATGGAGAGACACGTCCAGTTGGAGGAGATATACGAACCGTATGAACTGATGGTCTTGGTTCTGCAGCTTCAGCTGTTCAGAATTTTTCCTTTGCAGTCACCATGCAACACTTCTAGGCGCTGCGGTCCCTGGTGTTCAGTTTGCAACAGAGTTGGGAACCTTTGGATCTTCATATATTTTGGAATTTAACTCTGAGAAGCTGTAGGCAGTATAGCCAATATCAAAGAATTATCAGAAGGGCAGTCCAAAGCATCTGGAGGGCCAAAGGTTCTCCACTGTTGATCTTTCTGACGCTTTGCACCTAGCATTATGGTGAGGCAAATGCAGACGATGTAGCCTGTATCATTCCCAAATAGTCCCTACATTAGTAGGAGGATCTCCCAAACCATTTCATATATTGTATGAATGACAAAGGAGCTTATGTTTCTTCTAGTACTTGAAGTTTAGCTGATTTTCTCAAGCTCCTAGATAAACATGAATAGCAAATCTACTTTGCAGCTAGGGATAGTGGCATGAGCTCTTTGAACAAGAGGGAAAAGGGGGGCTTTCTCATTCAGGAAGCATTAAATGTCACCGCCTGTTCACAATGCTGCATGATTCACCCGATTCACCTCCTCATACAATCTCAAATAGTATATATTTGCTTGTCCCAACTTGTTGATTGGTAAATATTGTGTGCCTGACTTGAATAATGTACTAGTGGGAAATATGCACAATCCGTGCCCATAAAAATCGCTGCTGCTTTGCAATATTTAATTTGCTGGAAGGCAGATCCCATGAAGTGATTTCTGCCAGTTTTGCAAAGATCAAAAGGAATAGATAGACTGCCACCCCACACCATGTCTTCAATTCTTGGGGGCAACTTGAGATTCAAATCTGATTTTTCTGGTCTTATGCTAGTTTAGAGGGACGTGATGGCACTGCGGGCTAAACCACAGAAGCCTGTGCTGCAGGGTCAGATGACCAGCAGTCGTATGATCAAATCCACGCAACAGATTGAGCGCCTGTCGCTTGTCCCAGCTCCCGCCAACCTAGCGGTTCGAAAGCATGCAAATACGAGTAGATAAATAGGGACCCCCTAGGTGGGATGGTAGCAGCGTTCCGTGTCTAAGTCACACTGGCCATGTGACCACGGAAGATTGTCTTTGGACAAAACGCTGGCTCTATGGCTTGGAAACGGGGATGAGCACCGCCCCCTAGAGTCAAACACGACTGGACAAAAATTGTCAAGGGGAACCTTTACCTTTACCTTTTTATGCTAGTTTATCCTTGAGACAACAGGGTGCAAGAATGGGCCCTGCTTTTGACAGTGACAGATGCCATCAGCAGACACACAACATAAAATGAGTAACAATATTAGTTTCTGATAATAAAACTACATCAAACCCACATAGTAAAAGAAATGGGAAAAGCTATTTTTGGATTACAGCTCCCAGAAATTTCCAGCAGGCTTGGACATGCTGGGAGATGACTCTTGGAATCATAAAGTAATTTCCCCCCAGTTCTGTTTATTTTGAGCCGTGAACTGTCTGCTTTATTATTACATGGAGATGCATGTAATTTGTATCACATACTGTATAGATATAAATAATAATGATGATAAGCAATAATTTTACCAACTGGCTTCAAGTAATTCCTTAAAAACCAGCTAACACCAAACAGCATTTGAGGAAATCAGTGAGCCGAAAATTAGGTCCCTTTCTCCTTCTTTCAGTGAATTTTTTAAAAGGTTGGAGTTTTTGTTTTGTTTTTTAAAGACACCAAATGTCATGTCTCTAATCAGAGGTGACCTGATACTGGTTTTTGAACATGAATACAAAATTATTAAACTATCTAGGAATCTTGCCTGGTGGGGGGAGAGAACAAAACCTTTCTTTTATTGTGAGGCTGTATTTTAACTGTAGAGCTAACCAACCTCAATATTTTTAAATTGATTTGAACAAGCAATTGTGTTTTATGAAAATACTGCCAACAATTTCTTGATATAGACATTTTAATATTAAAAGTAAATAGTAAATGTGTCCTTATAAACAATATGCATAAAATAGATCTAGAATAGTAAAGCTCTGTCTCTTTCTAAATGTTTGTTTTTCACAGTAATTTCTTTGGCATGTAATATTTCTCTTTCAAAAGAAATAGTGCAATCGGAGGAACGTACATCATGTTAATGCATCAGAAATTATATGGCTCTTAATATAAGTCCTTATAAATTTCTTGTAGGAGTGGATGAAGGCTCATATCTGTCTCGGTCTTCTTGATAATTTGCAAAAGTTGCACATGTTCTGTTACAATCTGTCTGAGGTCTGTCATTTTCTGCAACAGTTTTGCAAACAGCTGTGATGATTCAGGGTGATTCAGCTTTAACTGGAGTTCTAAAGCTTGCAACAAATTGTCTTGAATCTCTTCAATGGGCTTCACATTAAGTAATCCAGGGCGATCTGGAAAAGAATGAAACAGTTAAAAAATTTAGATGGCAACCTCCATGGTAACGGTGTCTATAGATATGTGCTTCTGTACTGTTTCCAACTGGAAATACTTGGAATCAAATAAGGTTTTAGCTGGAGTACTGTTTTGGGGGGGTGGGGTGGCGGCAAGTCTTGAATTTTAGGATAAAAGGATAAAGTATAAATTTATATATGGCCATCACAAAGTATACTCCACCTGAGGCTGTTTTTTGGGGTGGTGGTAAAGGCGTGCAGTCTCAAAACAGAGGGTATGAGTAGAACAAAGATTTGTTCCACAGTTTGGTCCACCCTGGGGACAGGCTGCTTTGCTCCTTATTTCCAGAAACCATATGACGTAAATGTGGATGGGAACCAGCCCATCCCTAGAGCGTTCCTACCTGCTCATTTCCGATTCCTAGTCGGGGCTACTCTTTTTTTTTTAACATATGGGTAGGATCTCTCCATTTTGTTTCGGTTCCAGCATGGGTGATTGAACCAAAGTGGCCTTTTGGCTATCCCTTTGCTGAAGCCACTTAACGATCTTGACAAATGGGAAACTTCCTTGCCATTTGGAGGGCAAGAAAGAGGAAGTTTTGCATTTCTTTTTAATGTTTACTAACACATCAGCAATGCTTTTTAAAGGCCTTCTCAAAGCATCACTGATGTGCTGTGTCAGTTTAGAAAAATTAAAAAGAATTGCAAAAATGTCTTCCCCTCCCAAGCTGAGGAGCAAGGAAAATTTAAAAGGAAAGTTTCCCATTTCACAAGATCATTAAGCAGCTTCCTTCCATGCTTTGCCTAAGCCACCTATCAGAGTGGATAAAAATCAATAATTTTATTTTTAAAAAATCAATTTAAATCATAATTTATTTATTTTTAAATCAATCTTTATGATTTAAATTGTTTAAAAAATCCGACTTTTAAAAATTGTGATTTAAATCAAGTCTACCTTGCTGCTTAACGATCTTGAGAAATAGCAAACGTTATCTTTTAAAAGGGAAGAAAATTGATTGTGCCACATAAGATCACCTGAGGTGCCGTGTGATAAACTTTTGCATGTGGACACAAGGATGGCCCCAAATGATATACTGCACTTCAAAATGACCCTGTTTAGCACAATCTAGACCTAATTTGAACTGTGGTGCTGAAGGAGACTCTTGAGAGTCCCCTGGACTACACAGAGAACAAACCTATCCATTCTGAAGGAAATCAACTCTGAGTGCTCACTGGAAGGACAGATCCTGAACCTGAGACTCCAATCCTTTGGCCATCACATGAGAAGAGAAGACTCCCTGGAAAAGACCCTGATGTTGGGAAAGTGTGAAGGCAAGAGGAGAAGGAGACGACAGAGGACGAGATGGTTGGACAGTGTCACTGAAGCTACCAACATGAATTTGACCAAACTCCGGAAGGCAGTGGAAGACAGGAGGGCCTGGCGTGCTCTGCTCCATGGGGTCATGAAGAGTCAGACACAACTTAACGACTAAACAACAACAGACCTATTCAGGCTGAGATAACTGGGCCGTCTAATTTCATCCAGAGCCCACTCTTAAGGATACCGCCCAGCTATGTTTGACATGAAGTCTTGATAAGAAAAGTTCTGGAAATATTTCCTGTTTAGCAATTTTCTCTGAAAGTGGCATGCTTAATTGAGTCAGTCATGACTGCATAGCCAGCTGTCGTTCTTCTACTATATTCAAGACAAGTCTTTCCATCCAGTCTTCACCTCGAGAACTAAACTTGTGGCTTTTCAGACTTAACAATGCAATTGGAAAGCTAGTCTTTCTTTCTTTCTTGCAAGGACTGGCAAAGGGGTTATCAGGGCAGCTGATTCGAGGAGCCGTGTGTGAGGTACCCAATGCCATGGGTTGATGCATGTTTGCACTTCTTGCTCTGCATCTCCTGGCCCACTCTCAGCGCTGCCAGTCTTACACAATCACTTATTCTAGGCCAGGATTGGAAAAAGGGGATAACATTCTGACTCTCATTCTACTGACTTTTGGTCACTTATATGTCTACTTTTCAACTTCTAGTATTTATGCTTCTGGTCACTTATACTGTATGTCTACTTTTCAACTTCTAGTATTTATCCAAATGGGCAAATAATTAAAAAATGTTTTACAAAAATCACCTCCAGATTTTCACAAGCAAGGGCAATTTTTATGAAGATAGCTGTACCTTTGGCACAATCATTAAAGCCATTATCCGTCATTTGGTTGGATCCGTGTAAAAAAATATGACCAATTCCTAGTTATTTTTTTGTCCATTGTGGAATAAGACACGGATGACTGTACTATTTCACATACACTTTTCACTTTATTTTGTTCTATTTTTCTGCCTGCGAGTAGCTCACATTTTTAGTTCACTGTGAATTTTGTTTTACAACAACCATCAATTTCTGCCATCGCCACCGACACCAACATCACTTCTGAAGAATGATATTCATTGAGCTATTTTGCCTGCACACAGTCCCTCTGTGCCCAGTACATCCTGAATAAAATGAAAGGCAGCTACAGTTTAACCTCACTTCCTCCCTTCATATTGTCCTTGCAACAATAAACACTATAATTCTACAAGTAACTGAGCAGAAAACATAGTCAACTGCTGGGGATAAATGTGTAAAATGTTCACATTTTGACAACAATTGAAAATGCCTGACTGCCACCTGCCTTGCTAATGTATAACCTCTTAAATTCCCTTGCCAACATGAAGTGACTTCCTGATTACCAGAATCCAATGGGTATGCACTGGAAATTAAAAGTTAATAAGTAAAACAAGCACAAGACCATCCAGCTAAATGGATAAGCTGGGTCTAGGCCTTTAAGGATCTTCTGTCCACCTTGGTTTGAGGTCACTGGGTGCACCTTGCCTGAGTGGCTATTAAGCACAGGTTGATAGGACCAATGCTTTTCCAGAGTTAGAGCAGCTATTTCCCCCAATGTCTAGATTGAGGCAGGCTGGTCTATAGCTTCTGCATCTAAATGTGAGTCCTTAACAATGAAGTACAGTACAAGTGATACAGTAGCACGGCCCAGTGAACCAATGGAACTTACAGAGCAATTCACTCACCAAATCCATTGGTTAAATGGGCCTATTCTTGTTGCAACTCCCTGCTGTATTTCAACCAATAAGCTACAAAATAGCTTGCTTAGCCACTCACACAGCAAGCAGAAGGAACTGAGCAGCCCATACCAGCATTTTTTGCTTGTCCACAGTAAATCATGGTCCCTGCAGATCCCTGACTTTACACCATGTGACTGAATGCAATGCCATCTTCCAGTAGCATGGAGGAAAACAGAGAAGCTATAGAATGGCTTTTGACTGGTAGCACTATAAACATTCTGACATGACAACCCCCTCTCCCATGAAAGCAGTCTTTACAACCTTCAGACTTTTTTTTTTTTTGGAACCAAGAAACATAGCTGAAATGCGTTCAATTACTCGGGAACACTGGAAAGCTGGAGCGTTTGAGGTTACAAGGAATGAAGCTGTACACCTCTTTTAAGAAGCCTGGTACAGCTTTACATTAAAACTAATCACCTGGTAGTACCAACAAAATTAAAATGCCATCTGAAATATTACAAATTATGTATAGATTTTAATAACCACATTCAAGAGACGATCCTAAATCTAGCAAAATGCTTTTTCTCAGTGTGGAAGCCTCTTTAGTCTTAAAAAATCTCAAAGTTAATCATACTTTCTGTTAATTATTCACTTATGAAATGTTCACAAGAGTGATTTTATGCTCTGTGTACACACGCAACATTCCTGTGCATTCCTTATCTCTAAAACCAATTGCTACTACAAGTCATTTGGTGTAAGAATAGGCATTTGGCTGAAAGCCCTTATCGTAGTGTTGGCATGACTCAGCAGTTGCGTGCTTCACTTTAGTGAATAATACAGTACAAACCTGGTTTCTGGTTCAAAGAAATTATGTCAGCTTTACATATGATTGAGATGTATTTCATTATTTTAAAGAGATTGAATATACCTATTTATTCAGGGCAGAAAGAACAAGGTGATGGTGGTATTTTTTTAATATGAAATGTCATTTTTCCGCTCCAGTTCTGAACAACAGGTTGTAAACTGATTTTTTTTAAAAAAATCTGGGCTCAGAAGCAAAATGTATAATGGATGCCAATCTGCATGGCATTAAAACAGGAGTAGCTACATTCCTGTAGGTTAGGGTCATTAAGAGCTACAAGGCAAATGAACTGTATTCTTTCTCCAGCAGTAGAGGCAATATGCCCCCCTATATCCTTTGCTGGTCAACACAAAACAGAGGGTGGATCTGCGCCCGTGTGCTTTTGAATTTCCCAGAATCATTTTGTTGATGGAGGGTGAGCAGAATGCTAGGTTTGGTAGACAGAACACTGGACTAGGTAGACTCCTCATTTTACAAACCATGGTTCTCCTTATGTTCTTACATAAAGTAATACATAGTTGGTATTTAAATACATTTTATTAGTCAAGGGATACCAATATTAGAAAGCTTTCTGAAAACTGGACAAAATCTTTTTATCATACCTAGATAGGCTTCAGAGAAAAAAATGGTTTAAATAGATTCATTCAACAAATTAATTTGTTTAAAATGTTCAACAACCATACAGAATCTTTTGTGTTAATGCTAATTTCCTAGGGCAGTTCCCACCCCCACTCCGCAAATCCACATCTTCTCCTGATGGAGACAAGCAACACAGATTTTCTTCTGCAAGTGGGTGAGAGACTGAGAGTGTGCCAGTCACTTTGGGGTGGCGGCAGCAGTGAGGGACTGCCCCCCTAATTCTCCTGTGTGTCCCACAGCTTCACTCCCTGCACTCTGCCTTCCTCCTGCTTCCCTCCCCCTTTTGCTTTACCCCTTTTCTCTTTCTTCCTTTCTTTCCCAGTTCCTCCTATCTTTTTTCATTTCTGCTGCCTCCTTCCCTCTAGGTGGTTTCACCTGGTCTTTCTATATTCTTTGCCTTCTCCTGGCTGCTCTTCCATCCTCTTCTCTCCTGTCGAATTCCATGTCCATTTCCTTTCCCATCTGAACAGCCTCCTCTTTGCTCTCCCCTCTTGCTTCTTTCTGTCCTAGATCCCTTTTCCTCCCCCTTCCCCCCCCCGACTTCCATCTTCCCCATCTGGAGAGTCTCAATTTCATTGTGGAGGGAATGGAATTAAAAGGGGTGGGTGGGGTCAGGCAATATTCCATACTATGAAATAGTATTACTATAATTTGATTTCATTTTCTTTAATTTGTATCCCACCTTGTGTTACTTGATTTTCCAGGTGGAATAGAAACACCCAAGCATTTTTTTTTTCAACCTGGATGCATTAGTGTAAATGCTGTGACCTCCAAGTTTTGCTTCTGAAGCTAATTCTCTAAAATTTCAAATTATTTATACTGTATTATTACAGTCTGTAGAAAACAAAACATGGCTGAAGTTGTACAGGGCTTAAGTTTGTAGTCAAAGGCTGAAAACATTTTAAAGCTAAAAATGGATGGGGGAGTTAAACAGTCTGTTTCTCAATTGTAAGGTTTTCATTAATATGGGAGAAACATCTCAATATTCTAAAATATGCTTTGGGTTTTAAAAGTGTCTGCACAACTGTCCAAGAAATATACTGACCATTCTAACGGGGGTCAGTTTGTTCCAAAATCTTCCTCAAGCAAAGACATTCTGACAGCTTGTGTACTTGTTAAATATGATTTTAGTTATTCTGATGAAAACATGTCATAATGCTGCAGTTTCAGGTGAATGAAAGGAAAGGGCCAACTAGTAATTAATCCCTGTTCAACCTGATGTGTGTCAAATCAAACAAAAAGCCAAATGCAACTGGACGAGAAAGCTCAGGAACGAGTTGGAATCATGCAACTCATCGTTGCTGGATGCTTAGCAGGGCATAGGATGAGAAGGTACAGCAACTTGGCTCAGTGGCCAGCAGAATAAATACATTCACATTGAGAAATTCAGTTTCGGAAAGAGGACCGGGAACCTATATTTCACGGGTATGGCCAATTCATGGCAAGTAGGTAGTCATAAGCTGACTGTCCAATTCCTACAGTTTTCAAGGGAATCAGGCAGGAAGTGGTGGGAACGCTTCCCATCTGAGATCCTCAAAATCTGTCCACCAAAGTAGAAAACACTGAGTTAGACAGACAAAATCAGTCCTAGTATAAGGCAGCTTCTTAATTTATTCTGAAGGAAAACTGCCAGAGCAAAACTCCTGATCAGATAAAGCCAGAGGTAGGATTGAGAACAAAGCAGAATTCAGGATTAAACCACATAGGGACATTTCAAATTTTCCTCTTACTAAATGGGAGGATGACCTGGAAGAGGAAACTGTTTGATACCCCTTCCTGTCCAGGAGGATCCAGTGAATAGTGTGGGTAAGTAAGGTCAATCCAAGGTCTATTTAGCTTTCTACAAAAAAAAAAAATGAAAATGGTGCTGTGTAGTCCTTGCATGATTCAGAGGCAAGGACAGGTGATACCTTTATTGGACTATTAACAAACTGAACAAACAGCTAGCTCTCAACATAAATCTGTCTTCTTCAGGCACCAAAACATTATAGTCTGTGCCTATCTGGTTCTCAAAAATGAATTCAAAAAGCATAACTACTGCTGAGCTCACTGCTCTCAATTTCCCCAACAATTGGCTGTTATAAAGTGGGCCAGTCAGAACATTCCCACACTACCAAACAGCCTTGAGGGGAGGTTTCAAACTCCATCTCTGTTAGATGTTGGTTGGATATTGCCTCCCAGCTTCTTAAACCAAAGACAGTGGGGGCGGGAGTGGGAAGGATGGGAATGCAAAATAATTGAAACCTGAACCTCAAGGCTGTTTGGCAGCCACACTTTAAAACTTCACCTTAAATTTATGTGACAATCTTAAAGCAGGTTTATTCAGTTTGTGATCTAACAGGCCAAATGCAGTTCAGGAGCCATGTAGCAAGGTTTCAGTTAAAGCCCCTCTTTTCACTTACAGCTTTGGGCTTCGAAAAAGCAAAAACTGAAAGACATGGCCGGCATGTGGAGTCTGATTGGATGAGTCACTAGTACTGCATTCTTAACCGCAGATTCATTTCAGCCCACTAACTTTTGTTAATTATAGTTTTTTTCTTACTTACCTCCACTTAGAATAATAACAGCTATAAATATTGCAAGATCACTGTCGTCTAATTCCAGCGCGTTGAACTTGACAGCAAACTCAAACTTGGGTTCCATAAAGTCACAAAAAGGTTTCCGGAGACTCTTCAGAAATTCTCGAGTCATGAATCCTTGCCCATCTGATATGAGAACACCGTCTTTATTCATCAGGGAGGCCAGGAGAGTATAGATGATCTCATGGACCCCATATTTCAGGAGAGTCACTTGGTCATTCAGGTCCAGGGTCACAAAACCTGGAATGCTTTTGGCAAACTCTGTGATCTCCTGAACTGCTTCCACTGAACGAAACTGACAGCGCTGAAAGATACGGATGGCCACCTCTTTGTTCTGCTCTTGCATGGGGCCCAGATGGTTGCACTTAATCTGGTCTTCTCCCATCATTAAAGAATTCATGTCATAAATGACAAATGGCTGTAAAATAAATAAATAATTCATTTTCATGTTTCCTCAATATGCAGAACATATTGTGCTACCAGAACCTAAGATGCAAGCAAATTGAGATTAGTACAGTACCATCCATGAACAGTAAGAAGTTGACAAGATATATAAATTCTACTGACATATCCTAGAGGAAAAATTCAGGACTAAAAAGCATCACACAATATTGAAAAGAAAACATAGTCAGAATACTTGAACTCTCCATGAAATGAAGTGACCAAGTTAGGTCACAAAATTTTCTCATACGTGTATGGAAACTCTGCTTTTTATGAAAGGCATTTTTATAAATTGTTTCAAGCCAACAGATTGATTGACTTCTACTCCTGTAAACAAACACATAATTTGCCTGAATACTGTTGTTTTAAAAGCATCATATATGTTTAAATTTCTTTCTATTACTTTGGAAAGTTACTACATCAACACATTATTTCAGCTGAAATTTTTAGTTTTTGCCTTTGAACTCAAAGAAAGAACAATACCATGTCAATATCCCATTTATTTAATTGGAACCATTAATAATGTTTAGGGTTGTAGTTTAAAGGCACAAGATAATGTTCTTGATGCTGAATAATACATTTTTGGGCTATTTCACGTACTGTATATCTGCGCTATCTAAGTAAAGAACATGCGTATTCAAATACTTCCACTAAAATCAACTGGACTCTTGGATAAACATTTTGAATAGTCAAGGACACAGCTGCAGTTCACATTTCCCACTGATAAACTGGACTTTTATGTATCTATATTTGAAACTGAAAATTTGTAAATCTTCACTTATTTCATTTTAAGAATTTGCTACCTGCTGCACAAGATTACAACAGCTTTTATGCATTCTGAGACTTTTTTTGTGAAAATTTCACGGATGTGGTATCTGAGCATGTGGATATGTTTGTTTTTCCCCAATAATGCTGCTAAGAATGAAAAAACAACTGGTCCTTTTGTTCTAGTGAAAAATCATGCAGCAATTGATAATGTTTTCAGTGGGGTACTTCAAGATGTTGTGACACTTTTTTTCCCTGTAAAAGGCAAGAACATTCGTGAGTATGTTTTTAAATCCATAGTGGCCCTCCAGGGATTGTTGGACTGCAGTTCCCATCATCCCTAGCACAGCAAGTGGTAAGGAGTGAAAGGTGTGGAGGGCCATAAGTAGCCCACCCCTGCATTTGTAGAAAGTGCTTAGGTCTCCAGTTTCCATCATTGTCTTTACCATGACAAGTCTTTTAAAAGCTGCCTGTTGGGCAGGGTTGGGAGACTTTTTGGAACAGGATGGCATCTGTTTACAGGGACTGGCATATCAGTGGGAAAGATCAGCGAAAGCCTGGATGACCTGCCTTGCACAAGGATAAGGGCTTCTTCCTTCAGCTTTGATTTCTGCTGTAAAGCCAGCACTGGGAACAACCCAAGGAGCTTGCTTAATATTTCCTCATGCACAATTATCCTTGTTTGTTAACAACAACTTCATATTGGCCTTCCAATAAGCAACAGCCATTCCAATGTCATTAATAACATCTGTTCCAGCTTACTGCTCTGTTATGTGGCTGAGGACATCGATACAAGATATCAAGATCTATTTAAAGATACGAGGGTCAGTCCAAATACGCTGAAGCAATTGAACAGTGGGACAAAGACATTTCACAAAAGCCAAGCCAGTGCAAAATCACTGTTCTGATTTCAGGATTTTCTGGGTGAGCTGGGAGATGTATGCACCAGGGACCCCCATCAGTAAAAAACTGTTCTGACAGTGTTGCAGGATGATACAAACCACTGCAAGCTGGAAAAGCTCAAACGGACTCTGTAACTCGCAGCACATTTTGCCAGGGCCAGTGAGTTCTGTGCATTCCACAGAAAGTTTGGTTATACAGTAATTTTAGACTATATACAAACTATTTGTGCATTAGCAATCATTTACATGTGATGCAGTTGTGCGGCCACAATGCAACACAACATTAGATTGTGTCCATAATAAGCATTTTGACATTTCAGAATGCAAAGTCCATTACAATGCAAATAATAATAAAACTTTTACTCATTATTTACTGAATGAGTGAATTTTACTGGGACTACAATCCTTCTAAGTGTAAGTTTGAGAAAGAGGAATATGTTTATATGGTTGTTTTTCTCATTTATAGGTTTGTGCTGGCCAACTCTCTCCTGGCAGATTATTAGTGAATGGTCAGAAGCAAACAATTATTGCATGAACACACTCTATATAAATTGCATGAGGAGTGCATTAGTATGATATTCAAACATCATGAAGTCATTAGCAAGGTCCAGATTAACTATTTCAATTTAGCTCACTATATATAAAATTTGGTTCAAAATTGGAAAAGGAGTACGACAAGGCTGTACAGTGGGGTCTTGACTTGAGAACTTAATCCGTATTGGAAGGCGGTTCTCAAGTCAAAAAGTCTGTAAATCAAGTCTCCATTGACCTACAGTGCACTGAAAACCGATTAATCCCGTAACAGGCCGTTTTTGTTCCCTTTTGGTTTTTTTCTGGTCTGTAAGTCAAATCTCAGTCTGCAAGTCAAACCTAAATTTTGCGGCCAGAGAAGTATGTAACTCAAAACGTCTGTAAGTCAAGCTGTCTGTAAGTCAAGGGTCCACTGTATATTGTCCCACGGCTTATTTTATATGCAGAATACATCTTGCGGAAGGCTGGACTGGAGGAATCCAAAACCGGAATTAAGATTGCCGGAAGAAATATCAACAACCTCCGATATGCAGATGATACCACTCTGATGGCAGAAAGTGAGGAGGAATTAAAGAACCTTGTAATGAGGGTGAAAGAGGAGAGTGCAAAAAAAGGCCTGAAACTCAACATCAAAAAAACAAAAACAAAACAAAACAAACTAAGACCATGGCCACTAGTCCCATCACCTCCTGGGAAATTGAAGGGGAAGATCTGGAGGCAGTGACAGATTTTACTTTCTTGGGCTCCATGATCACTGCAGATGGAGACAGCAGCCACGAAATTAAAAGACCCCTGCTTCTTGGGAGGAAAGCGATGACAAACCTTGACAGCATCTTAAAAAGCAGAGACATCACCTTGCCAACAAAAGTCCGAATAGTCAAAGCTATGGTTTTCCCTGTCGTGATGTATGGAAGTGAGAGCTGGACCATAAAGAAAGCAGACCGCCGAAGAATTGATGCCTTTGAATTGTGGTGCTGGAGGAGGCTCTTGAGAGTCCCCTGGACTGCAAGGAGAACAAACCTATCAATTTTAAAGGAAATCAACCCTGAGTACTCACTGGAAGGACATATCCTGAAGCTGAGGCTCCAGTTCTTTGGCCATCTCATGAGAAGAGAAGACTCCCTGGAAAAGACCTTGATGTTAGGAAAGTGTGAAGGCAAGAGGAGAAGGGGACGGCAGAGAATGAGATGGTTGGACAGTGTCATCGAAGCTACCAACATGAAATTGACACAACTACGGGAAGCAGTGGAAGATAGGAGGGCCTGGTGTGCTCTGGTCCATGGGGTCATGAAGAGTCGGACACGACTAAACGACTAAACGAACGAACGATATAAAATCACTGGAATGTACCTTAGCCATCTATTTAACTGATGACAGAAAGCTTCCCAAAACACTGCAAAATATAATAATAGTTTAAAAAAACCCACCAAAGCTTCAAAATGGTATACTCTGTTTGGGTTCCAGTTTCCAGGCTAAATACTCCTTTGGAATAGAGTCTAAAATTTTTTTTGCACACTATTTTTGTTTGTTTTGTTTATTGAGTTGCAGAAGAGGGGCACCACTTATAAGGGCCTATTTTCTTTTCACTTTAGTTGTTAGTAAGCAAGGATACTGCCTCTGCAAATTTGAGCCACCGTTGTGGAATGTCGGACTGAGGATAGAAAGATTGAAATGCAGGCTTCAATTCTGTATTAGGCAGGTTGGCTGATCTTAAGCCAGGTCCTGTTGAGCAACCTGACCTACATCACAAGGTTGTTATGAGGGTAAAATGGAAGAATGCCCTGGATCCCTTAGAAGGGCAAGATTAAAAGGGGGAAATATAATAAATGCGTGTAAGACCTGAGAGTCAACAACCCCAACAAGTAAATGCAGAATATAAATTAAAATAATAACATAATAGAACTTTGAAAAACCCACAAATGTATTTAAGTGTTGAGATAGATTAGCAAACAAGTACCAAAATCAGTTTGGATTTGGTTGTAAGAAATCCAGCTTGATCACAGACAAGTCAGTATCACCTCAATTTGTCTTACTTCAAGGGATCCGAGAATAAATTGGGACAAAGGTATATATGTGTTCTGAACAAAATTACTTCATGACTTGGATTAAGCTAAAAGACTAATTAAAAACTGTTCTATTTTAAGACATTTATTAGTTTATTTTTCATTGTGTTTCTTCTTCTTCTTCAAGATATCAAAATGAGATGAACTAATAATTTAGTACCTAAATCTATCAACAGGAGGAATACTAGCAACTTCTTGGAAGTCGGACTAAACTCCATAAAGGTCCAACTGCAGAGGGTGCATAAAAGGAGAACAGTAAAATAGTGGCAAGGAGCAAAAAATGAACTGGCATTACAGAAAAGCTGGGGCAGAGAAAAAACAGTTATGGAGAGCTAGAAAAAGATCCTCACTTTGACCACTCATACAATGGCTCTGTGATATCCTCTAGCCTTGTGTTACATACGGTGTTCCAAATCTGAGCCATATACCATTTCTCATTTTGTTTAGAAATTTTTCTTCTCAGCAAGAACAGGATTCTTAAGTATTACACAATGCCTGATGCCTTCTGTTGTGCTGTTCAGGATGAAGTTACAACATACAGCAAATAGTTAAATCTAGTATGCTTACATTCTGCTTTTACAACATTTTGAAAATATTTCAAGCATTGAACGGTAAAAATTAAATAGAACTGTAAATTTCATATTGAGGCCAGATTATACTGGATGTAGATCCAATTTATACATATACAATGAACGCAATCTAACCTGCTTTAAACACTTTGATGTCGTATTTCTTTAAAAACAACAACCACCCAGATTTAATCTTGTGCTGAATTCTTCTGTGGATTCAATGTGGAAGTATTTGTTTGTTTGTTTGTTTGATTAAAAATCAGATATATTCTATAAAATAAAGAAGATTTTACATTTTAAATGTAGATAATAATGTTATCATATTTTATAATATTATAAGTTTACACACAGTAATGTACTGTATAGTATTTTATCTGTAGTTTTTCCTTTTTCTTTCTTTTTTTAAGCAATCCCTAATATTTGATTTTATATTTGTATCAGTGCCCAGAATCCTATTGCCAATTTACACTTCTGTAAGGGAAATCGCATAACTCTTATTGGCAAATCTAGCCTGCTTTAAGCACTTTCAGGTCATACTGTATTTCTTTTTAAAAAAATCAGATTTAATCTTGTTTTTAATTCTTCTGTGGATTTTTTGGTTGATTCATACCCATAATGACATACCTTCTATATTGGGTATATAACTCACATTTAATGTGCTGGTTTTGTTTCTGAGCATGCACCCAAGTGCAAACCCAAGAACACAACCAGTACCTCCTTAAAGAGCCACTGTTTGACGTTGTGCTTTCCCCTTACACATGCCAATAGGATAAATCAGATTCACTTATGTTAAAGTAAAATATCCAGCTATCTCTAATTTGCTTCACTGAGGACAAGTCTGGAGCCACTGTATTTTTCTAATGGTTCTCTTAATTTCATATATTCCTAATTTATTTATCATAAATCAAAATCCAGCCTCCACAGATCTCTTTTATATCTTTTGTCTCAGATGCCACAGTAATTTTCTAAGATTACTGAAGAATAGTAATGAGATAGCAAAATTAAGAACTGTTATTTTTGTATTTGAAGTGTGAATTGCCCAAAATTAAACAATACCAATTCTTTTTTGCATTCAGAGTTGTAACCTGATGTGTGACATATTTTGTAGATTATCATCAACAGGGGCATTTAAAATATAATTTAGCATTGCGGCTAATGCAGGTTTTATGACTGAAGCAAAAATTGAAACATCATGGTTAACACATCAGCGTGGATTCTTGTATTTGGACACAGCCACCTAAGCACAAAACATCTGATTGTCATAGGAGGAGATTAGGAACAGACGTTTAATTCTCCGTTGTGCCTCTTGGGTTCTTGGGAAGAGAGCCAGCCTGCATTGTTTGTTTATATCCCAATTTTCCCCTTAAAAGGACCCAAGGTGGGGTCCTCTTGGGCAAGCTATACAGTCACACAGTGCCTGCAGACGAAGGGACTGATAAACCACTTTTGAGGATTTGATACCTAGGATACCCTGGCAAGGGTCACTATCAACCTGACAAGACATAATTATATTTATTATTACAACATTATCCGCCATCCCTCTCAGGCTTCCCTGTCCTCCTCTGAACTTAGCTGCAATCCTCTCGACAGAGAAATGCATTTTCCCAGGAACAGTATACTGTTGCAATCCATCCCTGTTGTAATGAAGAATATTTGAGAGTGACTTGCTCTTGAATGGGCATTTAAGAAGCATTCAGTTTACAAAAGACCCGCTCCTCATTTGTTGACACTGACTGATCCAGCTGCCTACATTTTGGACTCTTCCAGACTGTCATGACGAGCAGCTGCACTTTCAACATTACTATTATAACACTGCCTTTGGAATTCCTAAAAATCAAACAAAATATCTTCTACAGTGTGGGAAAGGATGTGATGATCCCAAGTTTAGAATATGTATAAAGAAATCATACTGCAATTTAAAAATCGTTATACTCTGTAGAGACTGGCAGCCCGGCTGCTATAAAATCCCCGAGAACAAAAACCAGAAGCTTCAACTGCGTAAGAATGGATCTTCAGGAACACAACATTTGCAGTATGTGAATAATAGATGTTTAAAACAGGCATTACAGCTTATTCTCTGACAGATCACCCTGTTGGATAATATGGGAGATAACCTATGGAAAAGGGGTGACAGTACAGGAAGAAGTGGTGCTCGACAAGCCCAGAAAGATTGTGCTGACCTTCACATTCCTGTACTGGATTCAAATATTTTATTAGGTTATTCGAAATGGTGTTTACTTACTCTATCTCAAAACATTTCCTGTGTTTCAGCCACAGTTTGAAATATGTACCAATGCAGAAGGGTTGTTTTTTTTAAAAAAAAGTATAATGATTAAAAAAACAGTGATCCATCAGTATGGTAAATGTCTTGCTTCAAATATAGAATAGGAATTGGCAAGAAGAACTCACTGATTTGTCTGTTGTCTTTCCTGTCAAGATGGCTCTTGCTTTGGCTTTGGTCAAAGGGAAGGATTTGATGTACGAATCATACAAGAGCTTGGCAAGAGCTCGAAGATCCGCAGACTCAGGGTTTAACTGGTCGATGTCACTTGAAATCTCTGCTAAGAGCTTCTCTTTCTCCGCTTGTGGCATTCGCCCAAACCTGATAGCTGAAAGGGGGGGGGAAAGATAAATGTTACAGTATGAACATATAGTTGTAATAACTCTCCCTAGCACCTCCTCTTTTACCCCTGCATTGAATGGAATTTTTATGGGCACACTGCATTACGAAGAGTGAAATCAAATGGTCTACTCATTAAATGCTGCAGGAATGAGAGGCCTCATATTACAATCAAGAACGACAATCAAGAATAACACCTGGGCTCGGTGACACTGGTTTGCATGTTTGCAACAAGTGTGCTAGAATTCTAGGAGCTGACTCTGGAGGATTCAAGAGTTATTTCGCCAGAATCCAGACCTGCCTCCCCAAGGGTCTGATTCATTTGCCAGGCATGCCCATGTGGCAATCTCTCACACACTCCACTAATTACTTTAGCATTTAAAAACAAAAAAACAAAACAGAACTGTGGGAAGTAAGAGAAATCTACCTTGGAAAAGCAGTACCTTTTCTCATAGGTTGATGGCATGCTTTCTCCTTTTCTCATTGTATGGTTCCCATTGTATAATAATAACCATGTGCTGTGCAGTCAATTCTGACTTATGGCAATGCTTTTTCAGGGTTTTCCAGGTAGTGAGTACTCAGAAGTGCTTTATCATTACCTTCTTCTAGGGGGAACCTGGAAATGTCTAGCTTGCCCAAGGCCACACAGGTTAGCTCTAATTGCAGGAGGCACAGTGGGAAACTGAACTTCCAACCTCTAACTACTGAGCTGTGCAGCCAGCATGGTTCCCATTAGCCATAAGTTACCTCTTCTGCTATATATCTTCATTAGGTCAGTGGTTTTGACAGCAGTCACATATGCATACATACAGTGGGCCACCCATGTGCCACATCCATCAGGCAGACTCTCATTTGCTCAGAATTGTGCTTCAGCACACACCCAGTTCTAGTTCTATCTCTCAACATTGAGGTGTGTGAAAAAAGAGCAGTATCACAATATTTGTACTGAAAGTCAGCAATTCGAACTTGGCAAGAACAGGTGTACTGCTGCATAAATGAAAGCTATTGAAGCATACGTAAGTAAAATAATGAACAAATCTGAATTCTTTTCAGTATTAAGATGGCAATGCCTCAGTCACTGAAAAGAAAGTGGGGGAAGGGAGGGGGGAAGAGAGAAAGCAGTATAGTCAGTATGGGGTAGTTTTAGAAGAGGTAGCCATGTTTAGTCTGTGTTAGCTTATCAGGCAAAAACAAAAGAACAAGAAAAAATAAAGAATAAAGAAGACAAAAACGTTGTGGCACCTTAAAGACTAATTGCTGTATTTTTTTTTAATGTGAGTTTCATGGACAAGTCCCCTTCCTCAGTTTGGGGTAGTATTCTAGATGAACTGAAACATCTGATTCATAAATGAAGTGGCCGCCATTGGCTCCTTATGCAATTTCTAGTTCTTCCCCATCATGTAAGCACTGGGCTCACACTTAGTTACACTATGTTGACGGGTTCAAAATGCATGCAAGCATTTTTCTTACATGCAGAAATAGTCCCTGATTAAAAAAAACACAACAACTGACAAGTAATCAAATAGCTAATTGCTCAATTGATCAACATTATCTACCTAACCAATGCTGATTTATTTCCACATTTTCATTCCCATTAGGAACCCTGCTGCCAAAGGGTGGGGACCCTTCCTAATCTCACTCCAGTACTTTCCTACAAATTCTTCATACCAGAAGGGAACTAAAGGGCAGGAAGCAAAGGACCACTTAGTAATGTATAAATTTAGACTACTTCCTGAAAATACCCCCTGCCTATAATTTCTTCCAATAGAAATCTTTGGATAATTCCCTACTGATACTTGTTCTGGACTGTAGCCTGCTGTATATTTTTATATATTTTTCTCTCTCCCCACAGATATAGTAAATGTGTTCAGTCAGTTGCCAGCAACTGTTACCAGTAAGAAATTATTGTCAAGCTGCCTAATTTTCTTTGTCTTTGAGAAAAAAATGGTTTCCTGCAAATCCTAGAACCTCATATGTTACATAAAGAATCTGTACGTGAATAGTGCCAGCTTGGAAAAAGCTTAATCTTATTCTTTTGGATTAACTGCTAAGAGTATCACTTTTGGATGAAAATGCATGAGAAATCCTATGCAATCACATTCACCTATAGGACACTAATTGTTTCTTAAACTAATATAGGAATAAAAGTCATAGGATCCCACTGATTTCAGATGCATTGTTCAAGTAGGTTTACAACTGAAGTTCTTATCAGAGAAAACTCTTTGCTGCCAGTATGATCCAATTCAATAAAGAGCACTGCTTCCTCTTCAAAGGGGAAGAGAGCTTTTTAAAATTTGCATCTAATCATTACTATTCTGTTTTTGTGATCTACAAATCATTCTGTGATGGGGAATGCTTTCTGTGCCTTGCCTTTTATGGTTCTTGTGTATAGATTCAGACTGTGGAAGGAAAATGTGGCTAAGATATCAACATTCTCTTTTCAAGAAAATAGGAAAACAGAAGTGGGAACTTCAAAATAGGCTCAGCAAGAAATGGTACTCCTCCACAAGAAATTCCTTCTATAGAAAACTAATTTTAATACTGTTTGATTTTTAATGTAGAAGACCAACAAAAACTATTCTATTTCATTAACATACTTTTCAAGTCATGCTGATTTCTGTGATGTTAGTACTTTCTGTCTGATGAGCTCAGTGGTACGGAGCATCTTGCTGTGGATTCCCAGGGTTAGTTTAGTTCCCCACTGTGCTTGTAGGAGAGCAGCCTTGGGTAAGCTACACAATACCAGACTGTCAGTGGAAGGCACTGGCGAACTACTTTTGAGTACACTATACCTAGGAAACCCTGAAAAGGATTAGCATAACTTGGTATGGACTTGAAGGGATGTAATTATTATTTATTATAATTATAAGGTGCCATAGTAGCCCAATATATTTCAGTAAATATGTGCAAATTTAGAATAGCTCAGATTTAAAATATTGTTTAGATACTGAACGCCACCTAAAAATCAGATGCAATGATCATGCATAGTAGGGAAGTCAGGAGACACCCAACCCACTCCCTGCTGCCTATAATGTACTGAACCAGAGATTCCATTATGATTCTTTATACAGAGACCCTGTTTGCATGACTTCTTCCACTCTTTCATTTGGAGAAGTATCACAGTATTTCTAATCCATGTGATTTGGGACTGGGCAGGAAGCCCCAGAGGTACAGGTAGTGGAGGAGATGGCAGTTTTATCTACTCCACTTGAGAACGCTAGCAGTAATGTATGAACTATGGTAACGGGGACTCTACTTTGCAGGATCAAATCTTCTTCTATGTTTCTGTGATGAGGTGCGTGCTTCCTATAATTGGCAACAGTATTATTTATAGCCTTCCTTTTTGCAGCACATGTCTATGTACACTAGTCTTTATAGCACTTAACAAAGCAGATGACTGACAATTCTTCTATTCCTAACAACACTATTGTATTTGCCAGCAATAAACTCATAGCAAAGGACATAATCCCTTTAACAATCTGAGAATTTCCTCGATTAGTGCTATAAAGCACAAGTGCTGGAGGTCAACACAAGTTGCATCTCCTTGTCATACCACTTCCTTTCCCAGATACAGATAGCAGCTGCTGATGATGGAAAGTGAATGGGCAGATGTTTCGGACAACCAGGGCATCATACTAGAATTGTAATCCTTATATGAAAGAATATGATCCAGCTAAAACATGGTGCATGGCAACCTTACTAGTTGGGGATGTGATTAAGGACCATTGTGCTTCTCAGTCTTACACAATGACTTTCATCCTTGAGGCATGCCACCTCAAAGACGCCTGCTATATAAGAGTAGAGAATTGCCCCTATTGCTAAATAAACGTGTACTTTACTGTTGTGGGTTCTTCTTGTAATGAACATTTAAAGCACAAACTTATCTGTACCTTGTAACTATGCCTAGTAAACCTGTAAACGATTTATATAGTATTTATTCTGCGAAGCAAAATAATTTAATAAAGTAGGAAGGACATGAGGAGAGTCCAAAGGTGATCAAGGACGGAAACTGGAGACACATTTTACTTTCACAGAGGATAAGCATGGCATGATGTTACCAAAATAAAAGGCCAGCCCTTGGGTGAAAGCGGCACTGCCACCTTGGGCTGTTCTCCCTCCCTCCCTCCAACAGTGATATCATGGAATTAACCCCATTATCGTTACGTGGTGTTTCTTCTCACACCCACCGGCAGCCACCAACGATTTGCTGCAGGACGTACTAGACAGAGTAAGCTTGTACTAGATGTTCAAGGGGTGGGGACCTGGTACTGTGCTGCTGGTTTTGGCAGCTGCTTCCATGTCTTTCATAACTTCTATTTTCATCCTGAAAAATGTTATACAGTTAATCCCTATTCTACTCTGATTGCTCTGCTAATACACTAAACAGGATGGGCATGCATTAACATGTGTTTAACACTGGGATCCTATTTTGTGAACTTATAAACAACCTCTTTGTCTGATTTGGGATAATGGCACCTGGATGTAGACAGCAGAAGGACTTTATGAAGAAAAGGCAGGAGCTGGCCTAGAATTCACCCAAAAATGAAATCGTGGTTGCAAGTAGTGATTATACAAGTTCATTTTATCCAAGAAAAAAGACATCTTCAGTTGTCAGTAACTACCACACACTCACCCAGTGTCACAGAATTTCCCTTGATCCACAATCCAAACTGAAATAAGCAGAGCCATTGCAAACACAAGGTTTAGTGGATCATTACCGAAGGACAGAGATGTGATGCAACTCTTTTTTTTTTAATTCACAAGGTCACAAACAAAGCAGGCAGATTACAAATTCCAATATATATATATATGAAGGTGATATCTTTAGTAGGGCAAACCAAATGACACAAAATGTCTGCAAAAGCACAAACAATGGCAGCTTTCAAGAGAATATCTGTCACTCAGTTGAAAAAAAGTAAGTGGGCTGGGATAAGGGGAAGGGGGGAAGTTGGTGGAAGCCTGTGTGGTAATTTTGTTGCATGTTGCTACAGGAGGTAAGGCAGAAGGCTTGAAGAGAGCTAGATCTCATCAAGTGATAATGATATAAGACATCACATGGAATAACCCATAGACTTCACTCAAAGCTGGGCAGTGAGAAGCCTTCTGATTATCAAAGTTGCCTTACTATGCCTTCCGGAATATCTTTTATTGTGATTCTCAATGGTTTCCACAGAGATTATCAGAAAGAGTCACTATAATTTGGCAGTCTCAAAAAAGATGCTCTACAAAAATGTTTTCGAAGTTAGTTTCCCCCCCTTTTAATAAAAACAGATCAAATCTGAGAAAATATTTCTCATAACAATTTATTTGTTGATATTAGCACCCAAGTAAGATTTCCTTTTTGTGTCAGTAAACTAAAATTTATACTGAGAATAACAAAAAATGCAGGCAAGTTATTTTCCCAGTCACGTCTGCAATTTTTTACTTTCTGAATTACGTAGGTCTCTATGTTATGACAATCTATTCCTGTTTTTATTTGGCTTTGCTAAAGAAGGGTCTATGGGATCTTCATCAGAATTTGTTTTTCAAGAATAACAATATTACATATTTTCACATGAATTTACGTAATGACGACCTTAAAGTAACAATGGGGAGTGTCCTATACAAAATACTGTCTCCCTAAATCTTTTGTAGTCTTCTAAGCTGTGTCAAACAACTGCATGTCACGCACAATTTTTTTTAAAAAAAATTCTGCTTCTTTTAGAAGAGGGAGATTTTCAACACTGAAATATTGGTGTGGGATTCCTTTCCTGTCTTCCACTTTTCACATCAACTCCACAAAACCAGTTTTCTTCCATGATGTAGGCTCATGCTCAGAAGGGTATATGGCACTTCTGACAAGTCGACCATGACTGCACAGTTCAAGAACTGGATAAAGGTTTACGTTTTTAGAAGAAATTAACTTTTTAGAAAATGATTCATTACATACAGTATTTAAGAATCATAAAAAACAGAGAAGTAGAATTTTTCTTTCTTTCTTTCTTTCTTTTTTACTCAGCAGTAATTACAAGGTTCAAAGATATAAATGCCCTCTGGAAAAAAATGCATTTCCATTGTCATTTTTTTTGGGGTATATGCAGGCTCAGTATACCCCCTTTCTGCTCCTCCAAAAAACACATTTCCATTGTCATTTTTTTGGGTATATGCAGGCTCAGTATAACCCCTTTCTGCTCCTCCTCCTCCAGTACCATGTTCTCCCACACTGCCTGATTCCAGTCCATCTCAGATCATTTAGTCAGTAGGGAGGCACCACACTGAGAAGCAGCAACTTGAGTTTGGCCATGTGCCATGGCCAATGTAGACAATGTGGGAAGCTGCACTACCCTCATCCAGGATGAGGAAGACGTATTACTGAGGCAGTCAAATTATACAGGAGTGTGTGTGCAGGCTGGGTAGGTGGGGCTCGTCAGCCTTGGAAGGCAGCCCATCTAGGAGAAGGAAAACTCTGATTTCAAACCTCCACTGTCTTGTGGCTATATCCACTGATGGAAAAGGCTTCAGGAGTTAACCTCGAGGCAAAATCTGGAGCTGGAGTCCCAGAGGCAGTTCGTGTCATTCTGTCAACTTCTGCAACATCGCTGGAACCAGTTGTATTGGCTCTTGCCTGTCCACTGGACTATTTTAGAGATGTGGAGAGGGGGGATTTGCTGCTTGGGTAACAGCCTATCCTCCATATTATTTTACCTACACTTTGGGCTCTGGAGAGGACACTCCAGCTTCGCATACAACGTCAAAGCAAAATCAGGGAGCTGGACAGGGAACAGATTGTATTTCTCTTCTGTGTGGAAGGAATGGTCACTCTTGAATTGGCCTTCTCAGCCACACTAGATGCTGTTCCAAGTCCTCCATACAGAGCACATTACCATAGTCTCTCGAAACTGAAGGATGCCTACATGTGTACTGTATATGTTTATTAGCTTGCCAAATTCAACTGAGGAGACACAGTGCAACTACCATCACACAGTGTGAGAAGACCGCAAACATTGCCCAGCTATATTAGAAACAAGAAGACAACTTCTTTCCCCTCTGCAATGGCTGAACATTTTTCTACCCAACAAATGATGAAAGGGAAGTGCTGTGTACTGTGAAGAAGACTCTTCAGGAACTAAATCCCACCTCACCCCACTGTAGTAGAAGCCTATCCAGTACTATAGGAGTCAAAACAGAACCGCCAATACTACTGAAGTAGCTTGCGAGAGAACAATATTACAGAGTACCTGTAATCTGAGCCATGGCAACTGGACTTCTTTCTTATTAAGTTGAAATGTTTCACTACTCATCCAAGTAGCTTCTTCAGTCTTTCTAATAAGAAAGAAGTCCAGTTGCCATGACTCAACTTCCAGTTAACCTCACCTGGATGACAGAGAATCTTCACAGATATATTGATATCACAGAGTAGCTCTATCCATAATCTGACTGTGCTAGAAAGTGAGGTGAAACCAAGAGTCCAGTTTGATGCCACTAGGTGATATAAAACTGTTAGACCTATCATTTTTCCTTACTTTGGGCAACATGCTATTATTCTTCAATGCCTCCAGAGTTGCCACCTTCCTGCAGTATCTTCCTATTCCTTGGCCTAAGTTTCCGACACAAGGGCTAAAATCCTTTTACTTAGCATAGTAAGTCATACCAGAACAGGCCTACTAGATGACTGAACTCTTCTGTAAGTTCCATCAATTCAAATGGGTCTACTCTAGTGTGAATTATCATACAAAGCAACAGGATTCCAATCAATGAGTGGCAAGACCCTTCAATAATAATTGTGCTTATCAAAGGTAGATCCAGAAATCCCTATCCTCATACATCCAGTTTTATATATACTGGGGTTCATGGTGCGTATTGTTGTTTGTAGCATATTTTTCACACACAGAAGCCTTAATCTCAGATCCCTTTCACTCAAAGGTTCCCTCAAGTAGACAAGGAGAAAAAGTATGGTGCTACTTGCAGACAATGGTGATGTCACTACACCCCAAAGTGTACTTCTCAGTACATGATGGAACAAAGCATTGTGAAACAAACCAGTGTGAGATGTGTAACAAAGAAAAGGCAATAATTATTAATTTATTAATTACTAAAACAATATGAAAATAACCAAGCAAGCCAAATCTAGTGCTACGTTTCCATTTAAGAATCTCATCCTAAAATAGCAAGATGAGGCATCCCATGCCCCTAACTGGGTGCATGGGCTGTCTGTATTATTCCTTTCTGTTAACTGGCCCTTGGGGTCTTCTTCATACATTGTACACCTAAGATGTATCATACAGCTAAACTTTTTATGGAGGTGGGATGGACTGCAGTTTCCTGTGGAGCCTAAGCTTAGCTGCAAACCCAACTGCACGCTGTAATATTTTGCAGGCCTTCCTATCACCTTGTATGTAATGCTCTACAATGGCTGCCATTGCTTCAATTATGATGGCTGTATAACATCACCCAATATCACAGGTCTAAATCAAACTGCTAGACCCAACTAGAGCCAACCAATCAAATCAATGTGATTTAGGGGTTGGTTTACCAAAGTCCCACTGATTCAATGGATCTATGTATTGTAATTGGGACTAATTGTTGGTTTTAGCCTAGAAGAAGTAGGTCTCTGAATACTGCTGAAGCACAGAAGTGGGACACTGCTATTGTACTAATTTCCTACTTGTGGATTTCCCTTTAACATCTGGTTAGTTACTGTGAGAATTAAATGCTGGACTAGATAGGCCTTTGGATTTATTCGGCATGCCCAGTCCCTGCTGGACATCAGTGTGTGCGCATTCCATCTGCAGAGTGCTGTGCGCAAAAAAGCTGAGGGACACAGGCCTGGGTATGTTCCCTGATTTTACATGGGAAACCAACTGCATATTTTAACCCCCTTCCTGAAAGAGTTAGGCTTTATGGAAAGAAAATGTCCAAGCACGGATGATAAGTTACTCTACTACATGGAGAAAGGAAGATATTCAGTAAATTAATCAGAACTGGCCTAAGGCCAACTGCTCTCGTAAGTCCAGGTATACATACTGAACTTCGTCATGGATCTTTAGCTGTTTCATCCAAGAAGACCAACCACATCAACCAAGCCAATATGGGTGCATAATAAAAAGAAGAAAGCCAAGTACTCACCATTATGTGACATCCCAACTGCAAGGCACTTCTGGAATCTGCAGTACTGGCATTTATTTCTGCTTTTTTTATGAATGCGACAGTTGAGATCACACCGATCGTAGATTAACTTTAACCGGATTGTTCTGCGAAAGAAGCCCTTCAAGAGGAATAAAGGGATGGAGATAATATAAGTGATAGTGAGTCTTCTACCATCTGCTGCCTTACTGGGAAGAAAAGTATCCTTTTATACTGCAAATTGTTGTTAAAAGGACACACTGTGCCACAAGATACAGGTGATCATTTCCCACATTTTATACAGTTTGATTGCCCAGGATTTATACAAAACAGCGCAGTATTTCACAAGTTATGTTCATATTTATTTTAAATTATGAGCTCTTACTCTGAGTGAAATTTATTTCCTGGTACATAAGTTTATGATTATAACTGTGATAATGCCACTACTAGTAAAAAATAACCTACATGGAAGATAACATGAAAACATGGGAGCGGGAAGAAAACTGGTCTGTGCATGTTATTTTTAATAATTAAACAATTATTTTTATTTTCTTGGTTATTATGTTGGAAAAATAATTTTCCATACAATAATTTAGAAGCTTAGTGAAAGTTAAGATCTAGCTTCTGGGGAAATGACTTGATCATTAAAAAAATTCCTGCAATTTGAGGGCTAAACCTCACTTTACTCCCAAATAACTGGGCTCATTGAAATGAATGGGTCTTATTCATCTATATATTAATGTAAGTTGCATTTATTTCAATGTGTCTATTTTTGCTGGGACTATAATTGGATTTAGCCCTAGGAACATGTGAAAAAAATTATATTCTAAATAGATTTTTCTGTTTAGGGAGGTGTATCCTTTTAAGAATATGTTCTGTTAATCTCACTAACCTTGAAAACATGAGAAATATTCTTATTTCTGCTTCTCTTTTTAGAATATTTCAATTCCATGCTGAATTGCAGTATTCTAAAAAGACAAAAAAAGAAAGGAATATTGGCTTCTCTTAAAAACGGCTTTTAATTGGTTTGTGCTTTACAGCAACTTCTACATTGCTGGTACATTAATGCAACACAACTACAATACAATATTAAGCAATATTTGCCAATTTTGCTTTAAAAAAAAACCTTGAGCACATGCAATTTTGCATTTTAAAATCACCATCATGACCACACGAGTAAAATGGTGTTTCCTTCTACCATTCTGATGCCAAGAACACCAACTTGGAATTAAGCACCATTTTGTTGTAGGAAATTAAAAAAAATTCTTAAAATAAAAATATAACATATATAACCACGTATGCACCCAGTTTTTCTCTAAACAAGAAGAAAGCATGCTGTGTGGACCAGCCCCAGCCCAATGGCCTGGCCGAGATGTGCGCCTGTTTCTATGGCACCCATCATTTCTGGAATTTGGACGAAGGACTGAACTTAGTTGCATTACTCAGCTCCATCTTCCCTGAATACTAAACCATTGGCCCCATGTGCTTGATGATAGGCAAAGAAGTAAATAATGGATGACAATCCAGTGGGAGAAGTTTTTTTTAAAAAATGGGATTGTGTAAATGAAGTCTACATACCTTACAGCCTTCACAAGCATGTACTCCATAATGAAATCCAGAAGCTTTGTCTCCACAGACCCTGCATTCAATGGCCATGAGAGAACTGGAGGCTTCTTCATGAGGTTTACTGTACATCTGAACTTTTTCTGAGAAGTACGGTGGAGACGGAGGCTCCATTTTTATTGCATCTGAACAAGAGGGAGATTTCAAGAGAGAAATTAACTGTAACCTTGAAATACATGGCCAACAGATCTCTCTAGCTCAACTTATCAATCTGAAATATTTTATTATTGTTGTTTTCCTCCTTTCCTTCCATTAGTCATCACTGATGAATCCAGTAACATTTATAATATTTTAACTAAACATGGATATTTAAAAAGGGCAGAAAAGGACAACCAAAATTGTCCAGAGTCTAGAGCAATTTTTCTAGGAAAATAGGTTACAAAGGTTGAGGCCTTCCATGTGAGGAAAAAAGGGCAAGTAAGTGTGAAAGGACAGAAGTATATATGATTATGAATACTGTGAAGAGAGGGAGGGAGGAAATCTTTCTGATGATACCAGAATCCACAGTCACTCAATGAAGCTAATTTAAGATAGGTAAAATGAAGTCTTTCATACTGTACCCAGTTACATTAAAATAATTCATTGCTACCAGATGTGATGGCCACCACCATGGACAGATTTAAATGGGAGCTGACCAATTTACAGGGAGTAATGATTTCAATGGCTACTAATCAAGATGGTTGTATCAGAGGTCTTCAGTATCAGAGGTAGTATGACCCCATACTAGTTGATGTGGAACATAAATAAACAGGAGGATTCTTCAGTCTGGTTACAGGCACTCATTTAGCGACTGTGGAAACAGAATGTTGGACCAGACAGACCTCTGGTCTGATCCAGTATAAGCAGCTAATTCTTGGGCTAAGCCAAACTCCGTGGCAGTTCTATGACTAGGGCAACATGTTTCTATGACTAGGGCAATATGTTATCTTTACTACTATAGGAGTACATCTGGAAGATATTGGTGTGGAAAGGGCTACAGAGTAACTGTCTGGAATGATAAATGGAGGTTTCATGTGGAACACTTTATGGGCTGCAATCAGAAAACCTTTCTGTGTGTCCGTCATGGCTTTGCCGCTCAGCAAGTTGCCTTTAAAAGGTGGGAAATTTCAAAAGGCATCTGTGGCATATTTTATTGGTTTGGTCTGAGATTCTGAATTCCCACAGGCCTTGCTCAAGCTCTTAAGCTTTACCAAAGGAAACTGAGTAAAGAGACACATACAGCCTTTTTTTTAAGTTAGTGTGGTTGCCCTGGAAGAACTCTTACCATATTCAATTATTTCCCTCTAGGGTTTTGCTATTGGGAAGAACAAAAACAGGATGAAAGAGAAGCTAACTGTGCATTGTACTGATTGGCTGGTTACCACGTGGTTGACTTCAGCATTTTACAGAGTTGTTACAGGGCCTCAGTTTAGTAGCACAGAATCATGAAAACAGCAGGAACAAAAAGGATTCTTCTGATTCTTTTTCACAGTATTATACAGACAAAGTTATTTTGGTATGGAACCAGTAATACATAATAGTTATAAAATAAATATATTATACAGTCAAAACTGTAACCTTTCAAAAACCATAGTTGATTTCCACCCCACCCCTGAACACTAGACATATACTATTGCTAATTTTTTGTGTACGGATATTGATAATCTCTAGTTAATTTGTTTTGGATAAATGTTTGGGCTAAATCCAACTAGAGTAGACACATTGAATGAATGTGATATGTTAAGTCAATGTTTATTTACATCTTCTTCACTCAAAGGTTTAATTTCTTTAACTGGGATTAATAATTTAATTTAATCCTCTATGTTTACAACAACTGACTTTTATAAAGTATTTGGGCATTTACTTTGGATTTTATTAAAGCTGCAGGCAAAAGTCTATGAAAATATCTGAAAGATAAAACCAATCAGCATCAAAATCATGATGCACTCTCATTCTGGAACTTGGTATAGTTGTCTGTATAGTTCACTGCTCACTACAGTTTTGTTTTGTCTGCATTTTGCTTGGCTATGTGCACCAGTTATTATTATGTTTAGCCCTCAAATATGTCTACATTTTGTCCTCCTGTTATTTGCCAATTTCTGCTTAATATGGAACAAAACTTTGCTAGATAACACATCTTTTAGAGAGAGAGAAAAAAATCTGCATGGCTTCCAAGCTGTGATACTATCTTAACTACTATTACATTTTCACATGTACAATCGTGTGAAAAAGAAAGTACACCCTCTTTGAATTTTATTGTTCTATGTATCAGGACATAAAAATCATCTGGTCCTTAGCAGGTCTGAAAGATAGGTATGATGAACCTCAGATAAACAACAAGACATGAAATATTATACCGTGTTATGATTTATTTATTTTTTAAAAATAAAGCCAAAATGTTTGAAAAAGTATGTGCACCTTATGATTCAATAGCTTGTAGAACCAATTTTAGCAGCAATAAATTGAATTGTTTTCTGTATGTCTTCATCAATCTCTCACATCATTGTGGAGGAATCTTGGGCCATTCTTTACAAGGTTGCTTCAATTCATTGTGGTTTGTGGGCATTTGTTTATGCACAATTTTCTTAAGGTCCTGCCATAGCATTTCAAGCAGGTTGAGGTCTGGACTTTGGTCCATTGCAACACCTTGATTCTTTTCCTTTTCAGCCATTCTGTTGTAGCTTTGATGGTGTGCTTGGGATCATCGTCCTGTTGCATGACCACATTTCAGCCAAGCTTTAGCTGTTGGACAAATGGCTTCATATCTGACTCTAGAATACTTTGGTATACAGAGGAGTTCATGGTCGAATCAGTGCTGCAAGGGGACCAGGTCCTGTGGCTGCAAAACAAGCCCAAATCATCAGCCCTCCACCACTGTGCTTGATAGCTGGGATGAAGTATTTGTACTAATGTGCTGTATTTGGTTTTTGCCAAACATGGCACTATGCATTATGCCCAAACAACTCCATTTTGGTCTTGTCTGTACAAAGGACATTGTTCCAGAAGTCTAGTGGTTTGTCCAGACACAACTTTGCAAACCTAAGCCATGCGGCCATTTTTTTTGTCTGTTTTAGAGAGAACAGGCTTTCTCCTGCAAACCTTCCAAATAAACCATAGCTGCTCAGTCTTTTCTAATTGTACTTTGATAAACTTTACAATTTAACATGCTAACTGAGACTGTAGAGTCTGAAATGTAATTCTTGTTTTTTTTTTGTTTTTTTGTTTTTTTTGCAATTGTTTGCACAGTTTGACTTTGGGGTGAATTTTCTTGGATGTCCACTCCTAGGAAGAATGGCAAATGTCTTGAATGTTTAACACTTGTGAATAATCTTTGTCACTGTAGTATGATGGACTTATTATTTACCCTTCACAGACTGATGGGCAGCAACAATTCCTTCTTTACTATTATTCCTGATGTTTTTCCACCTCGGCACTGTGTTAACACACATCTGAATGCTCAAGACAAGGAAACTGCTAAAACTTCAGCTTTTATAGAGGTAGTCACACTGGCTTATGATCAATTACTCAAAGGTATTTTGTTAGCAGCACCTGGCTGCCATTTGGCCTTTTAATTCCTATGGAAGCAGTAAGGATTTTTTCACACATGGCCTCTCCATTTTGGCTTTAGTTTTGTTAAATCATGACACAGTGCAATATATCATGTGTTACTGTTCCTCTGAGGTTGTATTTACTTAATTTTCAGACCTGTTAAGAACCAGATGGTTAGCCACTTCTCACCCAAACACAAAGCATTTGTCAGGGCTGTTTTTCAACAATAAAAGCAAGTTTTTTTTTTACTTTGTATTAGCTACAGTGGTGGCCCACATAGCGATGATACTCCGTTCCAAAAAAATCATCGCTATCCGGATTCATTGCTATGCGGGGCAAAAAACCCCCATAGGAACGCATTAAAACAAGTTTAATGCTTTCCTATGGGCTGTAAACTCACCGCTATGCGGAAATCCTCCATGCGGCCGCCATTTTCGCTGCCCGGTAAGCGAGTAAAGGGCGCGAAAACGCTGTGGGCGGCCATTATTTTTTTCTGGTGGCCATTTTGGAGCTGCCGATCAGCTGTTCCCAAAACAACCCTATGTGAAAATCGGTAAGCGAAACGCTTACCGATCTTCGCAAAGCGATTTTTAGCCATTGAGAACATCGCAAAAAACGTGTCGCTATGCGGATTCGTCGTTAACCGAGGCACTAGCTATGCGGGGCACCATTGTATTTTAAATCTGGAGACATTTAGGTTTACTTGTTTCTGCATGGGGGCAGTAGGGCAATGGTTTTACTTTTTAAAAAATCACAACTCAAAAACCCTTTGCCCAACCGTCCCCAAATCTGATACAGAACAAGAGCAGATTGTTTTATATATCTGTGCCAAATTTACTGCTGATCCAAAGTTTTAATGTTATAATTTTTTATTTGGGCTGCCCCCATTTTTAAAGAATTGCCTTGTACAATGTTCTGCTGCACAATAACAGCACTGCGTTACTGTGTTGCTATAATCTTTACTATATCTTGAATATTTATACCACAGTCGTAAAATTTAGCTAAAAGCTACAAATAATATATCTGACTTGTTAGGTAAACCCAACAATCTCAGGTAGCAGCATTTTTTCCTGCTATCTAGGAAGAAAACAAGAACACAAACCACTTTCCAGAGCCAGGATTCAATGGCCTTTCCTATGCTGGACTCCAATTCCCATGAGCTCTAGCTGACTTATCCAACAGCCATGGATGACAGAAGTCTGGAGGGTGACTGGTTCCCCCACCTCATGACTTAGGAAAGATTTATGATTGATCGGCTGGAGAAAATCTAAATAAGGGTGGCCTGAGGACCAGCTAAGTGGGGATGACCCCCGAATTCACACTGTGCCCCCTTTGTGTGGTGATTATGATCCAGAGGTTAACTCCTCTGCTCTCACACAGCCAGACTACCATACTGGAATGTATCTTCAGTAGAAGTTGTTTTCTGTGCCCGGCTTTAGCTAAACCTGAAACAATTTTTGGTTCAGATATTACTTTGATGGTGAAAAATTAACCCCAAGTAAGTGTTAGAAATCTGATATACTTTGGCATTCTTGAAACTTCATGTCATATTTGTAGTCGAGGGATGTCTGGTCATTTCTTGCAAGAGGAAGATCCTCGTAATGTGGTGAAGAAAGGCTGGAAAAATCGACGGTCGTAAAGGGCTTTATATCGAAGGAATGGGAGTGCTCATCCATAGCAGAAAGATCGACTGGGCTAACTCCAAAGTTTATGGGCCAAAACGGCATTTCTGTATCAACCATTGTAAATCCTGAAAGAAACAGAAAAAGAAAACAAAATGAAAAAAAAGAGACTCGGAGTTTAGGAAAAGAAACGTTACTTCAATAAAATTCTGTAACATAATAAAGACAAAATAAAACCAGTGTACTGGAAAAGGGTTCACAGGAAGGAGGAAGGAGAGGGTAAAGAGTCACAGAAAATAGGCAACAGGAATATTAAAAAAATAGATGCCTATGCCAGATCACCGTTTTCTACGGAAATTGGCCACAATTTAAAAAGCATTTACCACAAAGTTTGAGTAGATCAACACTGTTTGAGAAATAACTTTAAGACACACAACATTATGTGCACATTTGTTCACTGGATCCTGTTCAATACCTGCATCCTGAAAATTACTAATTCACAGTTAGCAGCAAGGTAAAACACAACTTGCATTTCTAATATATTGTTAAAAGGTAAAGGTAAAGGTTCCCCTTGGTTCCCCTTGACAATTTTTGTCCAGTCGTGTTCGACTCTAGGGGGCGGTGCTCATCCCCGTTTCCAAGCCATAGAGCCAGCGTTTTGTACGAAGACAATCTTCCATGGTCACATGGCCAATGCGACTTAGACATGGAATGCTGTTACCTTCCCACCAAGGTGGTCCCTATTAATCTACTTGCATTTGCATGCTTTCGAACCGCTAGGTTGGCGGGAGCTGGGACAAGCGACGGGAGCTCACTCCATCGCGTGGATTTGATCTTACAACTGCTGGTCTTCTGACCCTGCAGCACAGGCTTCTGCAGTTTAGCCTACAGCGCCACCACGTCCATTAATATATTGTTAGTTGTGTGTTTTTCTTAATGAACTATGAAAATAGTCCATGGATCAGAAATGTACCACTAAACCACTGGATATCAACAACTGAGGAGTTGGTCTTCTGTAAAGGTGATGGCTCTCAATTGCTCATTCAAGAGGAAACCACCTTTAATACTTAGCATTACAGCAGGGATAGCCTGGGAAAACATACCAGTCTTCAGCAGCTCTGTTCCAACTACTGTGAGGATTACAGCTAGGCTTAGAGGGTAGCCCAAAGTAGCTGGCAGATGAAATCACAATTCCTGTTAATCAGAAATTCCTGGGACTTCAACTCTCTGAACCCAGATTCCACAACACCACTGCATCTCTCTCTCTTATTATTTTAATATTGTTCTAATTTTTGAAATTGTTCTGATGGTTGTAGGTTTTGGTGAGACTCCTGTTTGTCTTAGAGTAAGGCTAGTATAGCATGTGACCGAGAATGAGCCGGGCTCTACTTACAGAAGCGACAATGGGAAATCAAACTCCCAACCTCTAGCTATGCAGGCCAATAGCAAGCAGCCCCTAATTTCAGATGCAGCTTTTGGTCTTGTGATTTCTCATTGGTAAATGGAGTACACTCTATGCAGAAATTTGCTGCATAGAAATTTGCTTCACTTTAGCCTTTCCCAATCCAACCCAGGGCCTTCCACCTCCATTATCCTTAACTAGTAATATCTTCTGATGATGGGAGTTGCTGTTTAGAAATGAGGAGGGCCACAGATTAAGGAACGCAGCTCTTCTGGTGTCATAGGTTTTTAACTTCATCCAAACTAGGGAGGGGAAACCGTTTTATAGTAAGGCACATATTGATTTTCTCAACAGAAGATTCAGGATCCAGTCCCTGGAAAAAAAATCTTCAGGATCTTAGCTTCCTGGAAGTGACCCCTACCTAAGACAGTGAAGAGCATCTTGATCAGAAAAGACATCAGACATTCCTTGTTTTGTAATTCTTCTTCACCTAAGACAGTGAAGAGCATTTTGATCAGAAAAGACAAGACTGAATCAGACATTCCTTGTTTTGTAATTCTTCTCTCTGAAGGCACCCAGAATGGTCCACAACACCAAAACAATATATGCTAAAAGTCACTTTACATTTTTGGGGCCATGCTGGAGTGACTGATTCCCCAGCAGACAGAAGGGTTACTTTAAGGAAGATAATTCTCATTAAAGTGACCCTTTCTGGTGCAATCAGGCATATGCCTTTTTAGCCATCAAACCCTCAGTGACCTTTATGACAATCCTGTAAGGGAACCCCAGTGTTAGTATATGACATTCAACATGAGAAAGGGGTGTTTGTGCACAGCCTATAATGGTTCTCCCATTTGAAATAAGATACTAGATAACTGGACTAACAAAATAAAATATCTAACTATATAATATCCAAAATTGCTTGAGCACTTTAGTTCAACTTGGAAGCTATTGGCATGTGTGGACTTTGCACCTTTATGTTATAAAAACTTGCTTGGCTCTATTTACTTTGAACTAGCTAACACTACTCTTTGTGCCCAGAAGGTGTTTCTTTTTTAAAGCAGCAGCATTTTAGGGACCAGAACTATAAGAACAAGGGGGAGAGGCTTGTGTCAATGTTTAACTTCCTCTGTGACATATGCAAACATTTCACAGTAGCTGGTGTCACAGCTAAAACAGCAGATGCACTCTGTGACCTGGGTGAGTCTGAGCATGTCTTGAAGTGTGCAATCCTTGGAAATTAAACCCCGTTTGAAATTAAAGGGACTTTCTTCTGAGTAAACACGCCAAGAAGTAAGCTGGAAGCATCTTTATTTCTCAGAGTATTACAACATTCTTTGTAATAAATACACAGTTGATATATCTACCATACATGACTTTCATCCAACAGTGTATTCTGTTTGAAGAGATCTAAAAATAACTAAAGAAAATTTGGAAGAGGAGCTCAAAGAAACAGAAAACGGAAGATATTAGTAGTAGTCTGTCTGCTCTAGAAAAAATGATGTAAGAACCGTTCTCTGTTTCTAGAAATGCTGACATTGAAAGGGACCATAGACCTCTCTTTAACATCCTCATTAAACTGTAACTTCCAGGTTTTGTTAAGATAAAACTTTCATATAATGTAAATTTTCGTGTATGGGGAGGAGGAGAAAAGGGGATTGAGGGACCCACCCCTTTTAAGTGCTTCGGCCACAGGGAACCAATCAGGTTCTATTGGGATGGACCTCACTGGCCCATCACAAAGAAAAGAAAAGGAGTAAAAAGGATGCAACAAGATTGCTTCCACTGCCTGGCCCACTATTAACAATGACTGACAACCCACACTAAGGCATCTATCATGAAGTAAAAGAATAGAAATCACTGCTATATTGGGGTGGGGGTGGGCACAAAAGAAGCCTCTCTGAAGAATGTGAGGACTATGAGCACATTCAGGAATCCCTTGGGCAACAACAGCACTCTGTTGGCTAGCACTTCCCACTCTGGATTCACCAGCGGATTGCTTCCAACATCCACAAAGCTTACTACATTAACAAAGCTGAGTCAAATCATCTAGCCGTGAACCTTTTTTGCTTAATACAGTATAGGGAACTTTCAATATAATGAACCCTGCCTATCAGTTCACTCATAAAAATACCTTCGGTTAAACTTTACAGGATCTGTTTATTTTACTTTTGTATCCACATATAATATTTTTCTTTGGATACAATAACTCCACAGACAGTAGGCTGGAAATAGTAAAGGGGGAGGGCAAACTCAAAACTACAACATTATCTATCTTCCCCCACCCCCGCACTGATATTTCCCTATACATAAAGTCACCGTTACTTCGTCCTATAGTAAGAAAGAGGGAAACGGGTGCAACTGCACTGGCACTTTTGGTGTGGACTGGTGCAGTCTAAAAAGGGTCACTCGAGGTCGGGAGAGGAATGACATACCAGTTGCTGCGATCCTCATGTTCAAATGGCATGTCATTCTCCAGTAACCCTCTGTCAATTGAACACTTTCCCTTTCAATTTAAAGGGGGGGGAGAGTACAAGAAATATTTAATAAAAAATGGATCGAAGCTGCAAAGGAGCTCCTTCTCTGCTGTGCAAGAAAACCAGAAAGAAGGTGTTGAAGGGGAGCCAATGAGTGAGCAGATAAAGGAAAGGAAAGAGGGAGGAAACAGGAAAAGGGAGGGAGGGAAGCAGGAGCAGGAGAGAGAGGAGGTGAGAAAACATCCAGATGAAAGGAGTGAGGTGAATTCTCCCTTCCTCCTGACTGCTGTGCATGCCTCTGTGTATACATGTGTGTCTGTGCACACTGAGTGTGGCAATGCACAAAGTGGGAAGAGGTAGAGTGGCTCCAACAGCCATCAGAAGAAAGCACTAAGAAGAGGCATCACATTGCTCAAGATTTCACTATCAGAATTGAAATAACTTTTTCCCCTGTGTTAGACCACTGATGCACTAAATTACTTAATTTTTTAAACAAAAATTATTTGCCTTGTGTGTAGTGTTGAGAAACTGCTCACAGCAGCAGTTTTGATTGGTGCTTCACAGAAAATAATTTTTAAAAAAATAATTTAAGTGATTCAGTGGATCAGTGATGGTCTAGCACACACAAAAATAATACTTTCACTTCTCCTGTTCTTCAGCAGAGGAAGTGTTAAATTTACTGATACCCTGAAGTGGCTCACTTATTAAGCCACTTCATGATACAGGAAACTGACAGCAGAAGGAGCCTTGGTAGCTTTGATAACTGGAAGGCTCAACTGGTAGTCCATTCCCTGCAACTACATGAGCTGGGAACAGACTAAACTAAAGCATACCAACCCATAAAAAAACAAAACAAAACAAAACAAACAGAAAAACCTGACAGGGGTCAAAAAGGTGTGAGTTGTGGTACTCTGGGGACATATTGGTACACTCTAGTGATTATGCTGTGTGGTTGCCATAAAAAAGAGCAAAGCAATCCATCTCCACAGCACACTTAACTTTGGGATAAGAGCCCATCTGAATGACCCCAAAGTCTCTCCCCTCCCCTGTAAAGGTGGAGCAGGGTTTGCACTTGTGCAATCCAAGGCTGAGGCTACTGACAGTGACCAACTGAGATCCCTCAGGAAAAGGTTATGTCAAAGCCTCTTTTACTCTTTTTCTTGCAAGGGAGGAAAGGGTTAAAAAGTTCTTTGCCTGTGATTCTGCTTCATGAGGAGTTGATAGGCAGAGTCAATCTTATTCACCCCTC